CCAGGCGCCCCCCCCCCCCCCCCCCCCGGCGGATGGCCATGCCACAATTCCTTCTCCTTTCTCCTCTCGGGATCTTGAGCGGGCATGCACACACACGCGCCCGGTGTGAGTTTAAGCCACTGGGTCCAGGACTCAAACTGTAGTCGACTATGTGAGCGTCCAGTGACATAGCCATTACACTAACTGCTGGTCCCTTGAACACCTGCTTTGACATTTCTAAAACTATGTCTTAGTTTCCTCATCTCTTTTTACTCTTCTGTATTAACTACTTCATGGGATTGTGACAGGACTAAGTATATGACGATGCCTGCCGCAGTGCCTGGCACATTGGAGGGCCTAGTACATGTCAATGGAACAAATCTAAGTATTAAATTTAGTAAAAGTATATATTTTCAGTTTCTAAGGGAAAGATTGCTAGTAATTGCTTCATTTAGTTTCAGAATTCCAAGCATTTTCATTTTGAGTGGTATTTTGGCAATATAAATTTTTGAAATGTTAAAAAATAATCTTTATTTTATTCTGTGGGTTATATGTTTGCCTGAAGTGGGTTTTAGTCATATGATAATACCTATCTGAATTCACAGATGTGTTTCGAATGGTTTACGAAAGGGCAGCATGATCTTGAGAGTGACGTTCAGCAGCAGCTCTTCAAGGAGAAAATTCTTAAATTGGAGTCATATGAAATCACTATGAATGGTATGAAAACACTTTCTTAAGTACTAAAATGCTATTCTTTCCCTCATTTTTTTTGAAGAATTATTTTATTAACTTTATTTATTCATTTTTTTAAAGAATTGTTTTGCTTTATTTATTATTATTATTATTATTTGGAGAGGTTTTTGCTATAGGGCACATGCGCTCGCCAGACAGAGAGAGACAGAGAGACAGAAAGCGAGAAATCACCCGCTAGGGGGGATGGCCACACCGCAATCCCTTCTCCTCTGTTCTCCTCTCGGGATCATGGGCACACAAGCAAACGCGCCTGGCATGAGTTTAAGCCACCGGGTCCGGGACACGAACTGTGGTCGACTACATGGGAGTCCAGCGACATAGCCATTATGCTAACTGCTGTTCCCTTTATTTATTCATTTTAATTTGACCAGAGAGAAGGGACAGAGTGAGAGAAAGAAAGAGAGGGAAAGTGAGAAAGCAAGTTGCCAGGTCCAGGACTCAAACCATGGTCAGCCATGTGGGAGTCCAGCACCCTTAACCACTACGCCATCTGCTGGGCCCTTCCCTTTTTTCTAATACTGCTTCTCAGAAGCAACCAACTAGTTTGGGATATCCTAGAATTTTCCTTGCATACTGAGACATACATATATATAAATACATTTGTTTTACATAAATGAGATCTTGTAATTATTTTTTATATTATATGAGGGAACTTTAGAAAGTTTGTGCAATATGAAATTGAAGTATGAGTTTATTTTGGTGCACAAATTTTTTAAATCCATACAGATTTTTCTCAAAAATGTCCATTTTCCATGACCTTTTTGAAGCCTTCCTCATATGGCCTGATAGATCAAATTGCCAAATTGTGTTTTGAAATTCCTCAGTACAAAAGGATTCAAGGTAAAAATTTACCAGTCTGTAGAAGTCCTCTTAAAAAATGATTGGCAAGAGTTTCATAGATTCAGCTTTTATCCACTTTGAACCTTTTCCTTGATTATCTGTGTTAACTTGGATTGCACAAATTTATCTAACATTCTATAATTTCAGGTTTTAACTTATTTAAGACTTTCTTTGAAAACGTGAATCTCTGCGATCATCGATTGAAGAGACAAGGAGCTCAGTTGGTAAGTCCATTTTTCTCAAATTTACATAATTTGAATAATCTAGTACAACTTTCATATTCTGCAGAAATAAATGGCTTTTTGTAAAAAATGGTTCTCCTTGGCTGCTGGCTTCTGCACTGATAGCAGGGCATGTCTGAGAATGTGGGGAGGCTCCCTGTCTAGTGCCAGCGCCCTCCACCCATGGGCCTGGGAGAGAGTGGCTTCCTTCCGAGTCTCTCTGGGCTTCTTGCTGACCTTGGGGCAGCCAGTGGCTGCGTTGAGCTAGATGCATGCAGAATAGGGAAAGTTCTATCTGAGCTTCTAACTCCCCAGGCCCAGCAGTTCACATCTACCTAAAAAAGTAACAGAACCTTTGTGGTGTGGGGGTTTTTTTGTTGTTGTTTGTTTGTTTTGATATAGGGTGTGTGCACTCACTAGAGAGACAAAGAGACAGTCAGAAATCACCCTCTGGGAGGATGGCCATGCCGCAGTCCCTTCTCCTCCATTCTCCTCTCTGAATTTTGGGCACACACACACACATACATGCCCAGTGTAAGTTTTAAGCCAACGGGTCTGGGCCTTGAACCATGGTCAACTTGAGAATCCAGCAACATAACTGTTACACCAGCTGCTATTCCTAAGTAGCAGAACCTTTACCCTGGGGTCACAAAGGCAGGGATTTAGGGAGAAAAGTTTAGGAACAGACTGTGAAGCAAGAAAATGAAGATTACCTAATAATATAAGGAAGGCAAAAACTAGCTCTCTTTTTAAGTCCTTGTCATTCAGGGCCTAACTTCCTGGGATGGTAAGAATGTTCACAAGGTCTCGTAAGCTATGTACCTTACTGTTTCTTTCTGAACTTTGGGAAGACCAGTTTGAACCCCAGGTTTCTTGTTTGACTCCATTTCCTTTTGAAGAAAAATCCACAAAGATAGTGCACATCTCACTCCTGGGCTGCATTTGCTGTAGCCTCTCTGGGTAGATGACTGGTTTAGGTTTAGGGTTAGGACAATCCCCTTACCTATTCCGATTCCTATGCTTCTGTGGTTGGTTGGGTTTTAAGTTTCTTACCAGGTATAGTACTGTTTGGATACATAGCTCGGTTTTGGAGACTTAGTCCACACTGAAGTATGGACTCATGCTGTAACAGAAAATAACGCTCCGTCATGTGATCCTGGTGTGCTGTCTGTATCATTTAACTTTGTATGATTTATTTATTTTTTTCTTTTGGACAGTATGTAGAAAAACTGGAATTAATAGGAATGGATTTCATTTGGAAAATAGCCATGGAATCACCTGATGAAGAAATTGCTAATGAAGCTATTCAGCTAATCATAAACTATAGTTACATTAACCTAAATCCTAGATTAAAGAAGGTGAGTATCTAAGAAAAGAAATTATTCATATACGAAAAAGCAAAAAGGTATATATTTTTATTGGTAAGTTGTGATCCTTGGCATGCTCAGAAATTGGCATGGTTTTCTTGATGTTTTGTCTGAATAGTGGTGACAACCAAATACCAAAGCCTAATCTTAATGTCCGTCTACCTGTTACTTCTAGGATTCAGTCTCTTTACATAAAAAATTCATTGCTGATTGCTACACAAGATTAGAGGTGAGTAGCAAATTTTATTTAACCTACCTTTGAAATAAATGCTTTGTTTTTTTTGCCTTTTGTAATTTTCTATTTTTAGCTCATGTGTAATGTTATTCGTGGCTATGTTCTGTCGAACTTGTCAGTGGTGCCATATTGCGGCACAGAGTACAGACGTGTGCCGTGATGCTCGCTGTGTGGAAGGTACTTTATAGGAAATCCTCCCTTTTCTCTCCCACCACCTCTCTTCCCCACTCCGCCTTCCCCCAGTTTGGGGGTATATGATCTGTCTTTAGAAAACAGACCTACTATACAGTCTACCTTTTTAATAGAGTATTTCTCTCTTTTTTTTAAATTTCTGTTCAGCAATTTTATGCAAGTCCCTGCTTCTTTTCCATCTCCATATTCCATCTAGTTTATACCATAAATGCTGCTAAAGGCCACAGCAATACCCTCAGTCATAGGTGGTGCTGGTGGTCTTTGTCCAGTAGAAACCTGCCATCGTAATCCCATCTCACGTACATTCCTGATGTCTTATTTCCAGCATGCTGGTTAAAGCGTGAAACATTCAGTTTCAGCTGAAATTTGTCTTTAAATTTTGTATCTGATAAAGAGTATTTCAAAAGCATAAAATGCTACTGCTCCAAATGACAATACGTTAAACTTGTTGGTGGAGAGTATGTGGTAAAATCTGCACAGTATTTCTCAAATTGCGATATATGTCATCATAAAAAACATTCAAGCGTTCAAGTGCCGCTGTAGAAGGTACCATGAGTATGAACCTACGTAGATCAGTAGTTCTCAACTGGGGCTTATTTTGCCTCCCACGTGCTATTTGCTAATTTCTTGGTTGTCCCAAGTAGAAAGGGCTCTGCTGGTGCCTGGTGTGGAGAGGCCGGGGATGCTGCTGAACACACCTACGCTGCCTAATGCTTAGGACAGCCTCTACCACAAAACGTATTCCAGCCACAGTGTTGAGAGTCCAGGCTGAGAAACCTTGAGATAAGGTGACTGTTTCATATGTTACAGGCAGCCAGTTCAGCGCTTGGTGGCCCTACCCTAACACATGCTGTGACCAGAGCAACAAAAATGCTTACAGCAACTGCCATGCCAACTGTAGCAACGTCAGTTCAGTCTCCATACAGGTAAGTGACTACCGAAGGGAGGTAGATACTCACACAGTGCAGGAGTGTTTATCAGTTTAAGAAAATAGTTATATCTTTGTTTTTCCTAGAGAGAGCTCCGTTATTGATTTTCTCATTTTATATTATAGCTTTTGCAAGCAATTATATATCCCCTCCATCCATCCCCAGATCTTTCTCTTTTGAAGATATGTATGTAGGTCATCATGAAATGACCCAAGTATTCTTCCTCCCACCCTTCTGCTTAGTGGACAGGTCCTTTCATTGTTTTTTCCATTTGTTTCATTCTACCTTTATTCCATGTAGCTTAACTACCCTCTTTCGTGTGAAATAAAGATATATTCATTATATGAGTCTTTTTTTTTAAGCTTGAAATATTTACATATTTAGATACAGCTTTTCTCCTTGAATAATTAAATCCAAGGCATTAGTAGAGTAAGCAAAATGAAGTGAAACATGATCATTAATTAAAATTACATATTACAATATAATCAGTTAAAATGTTAACGGACATTCTTTTTCAGAATAATTTTTTGAGAACTTTATCCTCAAGTATTTGTATGAAAGCTGTGAACTGACATTGTCTCTTACATTGCTATGTTTACAATGTTCAGGTATTGGGACCAGCAGTTAGCATAATGGCTATGTCGCTGGATTCCCACGTAGTCGACCGCGGTTCGCGTCCCGGACCCGGTGGCTTAAAACTCACAACGGGTGCATGTGCATGCGTGCCCAAGATCCTGAGAGGAGAATGGAGGAGAAGGGATTGCGGCGTGACCATCCCCCCTGGGGGGTGATTTCTCGCTTTCTGTCTCTATGTCTCTCTCTGTCTGCTGTCTGTCTGGTGAGCACACGGGCCTTCGTAGTCGACCGCGGTTCGCGTCCCGGACCCGGTGGCTTAAAACTCACAACGGGTGCATGTGCATGCGTGCCCAAGATCCTGAGAGGAGAATGGAGGAGAAGGGATTGCGGCGTGACCATCCCCCCTGGGGGGTGATTTCTCGCTTTCTGTCTCTATGTCTCTCTCTGTCTGCTGTCTGTCTGGCGAGCACACGGGCCTTATACCGAAAATCTCTCAAAAAAAAAAATGTTCAGGTATTATCAATAAACTCTGACTTTAGTGTTTAGTTCTTCAACATAGCTAGAATACTGCATTTTGAGGAACATTAGATTGAAGTAAGCAAAACACTTTGGAGTTTTATGAGCCTTGCATTGCTGGTAAACAGCACCAAGTTGCTGATACCTGGAAACTTTGGGGTGCTCAAGGGCTTGCTCTCTGTGCCTCGCTCTGCTGCCCTCTAGTGGTAGATGTCTTTATAGTCTTTCTCTATTTCTGGGATGACTGTAATTACTCAGTTTTTTTCCCCAATTGGGGATATTCCTTTTCCTTTTGAAAAAGTTTTACTATATTGTTGTACTTTATCAATATGAAGGAAGCCATTAAAACTTAGCTCTCTTAAATTTGTTTAACTTAGGATAAGAACACTAAGGTGATTTTCAGATTCCTATATCTCGGGACCAGCAGTTGGCATAATGGCTGTCGCTGAACTCCCATGTAGTTGACCATGGTTCGAGTCCCAGACCTGGTGGCTTAGGCTAACGCCCGGCACATGTGCATGCGTGCCCAAGATTCCGAGAGGAGAATAGAGGAAAAGGGATTGCGGCGTGGCCATTCCCCCCAGGGGGTGATCTCTCACTCTCTCACTCTCTCTCTCTCTCTCTCTCTCTCTCTCTCTCTCTCTCTTTCTCTTTCTGGTGAGCTCATGCACCCTATAGTGAAAACCTCTCCCAAAAAAAAGAAAGTATATCTCAACTAGACTTTCATTAAGAGTATACATGAATAAGGGGGCCAGCAAGTGGCGTGGTAGTTAAAGGCGCTGGATTCCCATAAGGCTGACTGTGGTCCGAGTCCCGGATCCGGCGGCTTGCTTTCTCACTTTCTCTCTCTCTCTCTCTCTCTCTCTCTCTCTCTCTCTCTCTGTCCCTCTCCGGTCAAATTGAAGTAAACAAATAAATAAAGTTAAATAAAATAGTTCTTGGGGAAAAAAAAGAGTATACATGAATAAACAAAACACTTAACAGACAAAAAGGAAATGTTATCTTTTGATGATGATGATGATAAGTGTATATGGCAATGTCTTTGACTTGATTAATATGCACAGTATTCATTCTGGGAAATAAAATCATGTTGTACAATGTAAAGATGTACAGTGATTAAACAGAAGTAAAGAAAGACTAAAAAAAAGAGTACACATCAGGAATTCCTAATTACGTGTTTTAAGATGTACTCCATCTCTATGACTTATTTCCTTAATGATTTATTTACATTTTTATTCTGACTTGTTAAATCAGAATAAAAATGCTTGGGGACCAGCAGATGGCGTAATGGCTGCGTTGCTGGACTCCCACATGGTCAACCATGGTCCAAGCACTGGAACTGGTGCCTTAAAACTCATGCTGGGCACATGTGCATGAATGCCCAAAATCCCAAGAGGAGAATGTAAGAGAAGGAATTGTGGCGTAGCCATCCCCACATGGAGTGATTTCTCGCTTTCTGTCTCTCTTTATCTCTCTGGTGAGCGCACGTGCCCCATAGAAAAAATAATCTCTCAAAAAAAATAAAATAAAATAAAGCATCTATTAGCTATCGGACTTGGATATCTAAAATGCTACTTCTTTAAGAGTCTACTTTTTTTTTCTCTTCACTAAGTGTTTTTTATTCTGAATCATTTCATATTTGACCACAGGAACAAAAAAACATAACTGTAAAGCATTCTTATTAAAAATTCCAAATAGAATTAATAACAACGTCTAATTCCAAAGTTGAATTTGAACTAAATATTGTTATAGGGTGAGCATCTCTAATCTAAAATCTGAAACTTTTTGACTGTTGACACAGTGCCACAAATGGAAAATTTTACTCCTGACCTCTTGTGATGGGTCACAGTCAAAATGCTGCAATACAGAAATATTGTATAAAGTCACCTCTACACTATGCGTACAAGGTGTATGTGAAACGTGAATGAACTTCATGTTCAGATTTGGGCCCCATCCCCAAGGTATCTCATATATATACGAATATCTCCAATACAAAAATGTTTGAAACACTCGTGGTCTCAAACATTTCAGGCAGTGTATACTCAACCTATAGTGTCTGTCATTTCACTAGTTTTGAAAGAACTTTTTAGTGCCCATAGTTGTTCCAAGTTATGGGAGGAGGAATTATTCTCTCATCTGTATGGTATTTTGTAATACTGTCTGTGACTTGATTTATTATTGAAGTGTAACTAAAACAGTCCATTCAAAATTCTCTTACTTTGTACAGTACTTAGATACCTCCTAAAGACTTCTTGTTTAAAGTTCCAGTTCTTGCCCCAACACTGGAAGAATTAAGAACTCTGTTAATGTAATTAATGGAACTATTAAAATATAGTTTGTTTTTTTAAAAAAAGAAAAAAGAAAAAGAAAAAGAAGAAAAAACAAAAGGGAACTGTAGAGAGGGACAGACTTCTCCCTGTTTTTCATCTGTGTACTACAGCTATGGGTGAACTCCCTCCCTAGTGGGTGAAAGGGAAATTTAATCTGCAAATTTTTAGCAAGTGTTAACTATGATCATGGCTTCGGTAAACAAGGCTAGAATGGCACTCAAGTCAGCAATCCATTGCAGATAGATATAAAGAACCTTTTTTTTTTTTGATCCACAGATCCACTAAACTTGTAATAATCGAGAGATTGCTGCTTCTGGCAGAACGCTATGTGATCACTATAGAGGTAAGCCTCTCCTCACTGAAGCGACTCCGTCACATTACTAACTAAATGTGTCAGGTGTGTGTTTTAACATGTTTAGTAGCAAGACTGTCATATCTGCCTTACTGACTTATTCCGTCTCTTTCAAGGATTTTTACTCTGTCCCACGAACTATTCTACCTCATGGTGCCTCTTTTCATGGACATCTTTTAACTCTTAATGTCACCTATGAGTCTACCAAAGATACCTTCACCGTAGAGGTACGTTTATATTAAGCTCTGCAGCCTTTTCATGGGGTCTTTTTTCCATATAAACAGCATTGATTGAGATAGCTGCATGGACTCTAAAAGTTGTCTGGTAAACAAATTTAAAATAAAGACTCAAAATGGAAGGGCACTATGGGGCGATAAGGGTTACAATGAATATTTAAGAATAAAGCAGGATAAGTTGGTAGAGGGCAATGGCTATGTATGAAATATTTTAGATAAGAAAACAGAGGAGGTCTCCCCAAGGTAGTGACAGTTGAGCAAAGCGACAGAGTAAATGGTGTTTGCTTGGAGGGCATCCCAGGGACAGAAGCAAGCAAGGTGACTGGTGGGAGTAGAGCACAATGAGAATGGGGAGGGTGGAGGACGCCGCAGCACAAGGACTCGAGCTGCATCTGACGCATGATGCCGAGGGGGCTGGAGTGGAGTCTGGAACATTCCGTCATAACAGAAAGGAAGCTTCTCAAGGGCAGGGATTCCTGTCCCGGCTTCTGGAGCTGTGCCATACGTAGCAGGTGCTCACGAATGGCTGTTCAGGTGAGTAAGTGCATGACTTTCTCACAGGCGTGTCGCTTTTCATCTCACAGGCCCACAGTAATGAAACCATAGGGAGCGTCCGGTGGAAGATAGCCAAGCAGCTGTGTTCTCCCGTGGATAATATACAGATATTCACGAACGATAGTCTGGTAGGTTTAAACGGGTAGTTTTTGGCACTTTAGCCTGATGTGATCCCCCTCTTTCTTTCTCGCTCAATAATTAAGAAACCACTTTTTTGCAGCTGACAGTGAATAAAGATCAAAAGCTACTCCACCAACTGGGCTTCTCTGATGAGCAGGTGCTCACAGTGAAGACTTCCGGCAGCGGGACCCCGTCAGGGAGCTCCGCAGACTCCTCCACCAGCTCCAGCAGCAGCAGCAGCGGGGCCTTTAGTTCGTCCTACGCCATGGAGCAGGTACTGAGTGACACGCTCCTGTTGGAAAGCAAGTCTAGCAGTCATCAGCTTTTACCCTCAGCCCCTATAGATTTGGATGACGCCAGACATGCACTGACTCTTCAGTGCCCTGTAACTGACAGTGCTGGGTTTCGGCGGGAGAGAGATGCACAGTTACCGTCAGCCTGTGTATCGCTGGCTTGTTCTGCCTGGCCACTCACTGCACCCCACCTTTCCCACACCCCCCACCCCAACACCTCTTCATTGAGTTACTGATTTTCCTTCTCTACAGGTCGTTCCCATTATAGCATCCAAATGTATCATTTCTGCTGTCTTAAAAAAACACTCGCCCCAATTCTTCCTTCAGTTACTGCCCCATTTTTTCCTTCCCAGATCAACAAAGATTCCTTGGAGGAGTTGTGTACGCTTGTTCCTAAATTCTCTTTTTGCCTTCTTCTCTGGACAGGTAATCTGTCACTTTCTACCTTTTAATCCTCGCTGTCGTGACGTTTCAGCCAGGTTGATACGGTGATCACTTCTCCTTAAAGAACTCCCTTCACTCCCTTCACTCCTTTCAGGATCACCCCTCGGCTTGTTTCTTTCGGTCTCCTGTGCTGCTCTGTCATCTCCCTGATTCTCTGAGGCCCGGTCCTTGGCCTCTCCTCTATCTCCATTTACTCTAGTGAGCTCATTCATCCTCAAAGCTTCACTGTATGTAGATCGCTAACTCTGTGATGTCAGCTTTACCTTGGAGTTCAGATATGTGGATGTTTGCTCAACAGCTCTTCTTGGAAGTCTACCAGGCACCCCAATTTGAACGTATCCAAGCTGAGCTCCTCGTACCCCCTTTCCCACCATGCTACCCCGACCCCAAACCTCTTAATCCCACCTTCTTGCTCTGTCTCAGATAATGGCAGCTTCATTCTTCTAGTGGCCCATGCCACAATCCATGGGGCCCTTCTCATGCCGGGCACATGTGCGTGCGTGCCCAAACTCACATTCATCAGCAAATCCTTGACTCTGTCTTTAAAATACATCCAAAATCTGGGCCAGCACCATGGCACAGCTGTAATACACTGCTCAAGAGAAGCTAGACCCAACATTGACACTGTGGTTCGAATCCCTGTCCTGGTCAGCTTGAAACCCACCAGGCACATGTATGAGCACCCAAGGTCTGACAGGCTGAAGGATGGAGGGAAGCAGACCATGGTGTCACCAGACCCTGAGAACCGTGATTCTCTCTCGTTGTTGCTCTTCCTTGTCTCTCACATGCACATGCTCTATCACAAATAAAGAAAAAACAACCTTGTCATGAAATAGCCAGAATCTAGCTACTTTTTTCTATCTCCCCACCGTCCATGTTGGCCTAGGCCATCATCCCCCACCATGCGTGTCTCAGTAGTGGCCTGACTAGCCGCAGGGCCCTGTCCTCATGACGGCTTCAGTGCCTTCTCTGCAGGCCCCTGGCAGTCCTGTTCTTGCTGAACACATGTGGGATTCTGCCAGCCCTCGGTCCATATGCTTCAGAGGCACCATCTCACTGAAATTAAGAACTGGAGTCTTTACCGGGACCTCGAAGGCCTTACCATGTGCCCTTCCAGAACCTCTCTGAGGTCGCCCTCGGGCCCCTCCCTCACTCTCAGCACTCCAGCTGCCCTGCCCAGGCTGGTCCTGAGACAGGAGGCCTGTGTGCTTCCTCTTCCGGGTGCCCAGAATGTTCCTGCTGTGCGTCCAGGGGCTCACTCTGACTGGCTTCAGCTTCTGCCAGATGCTGCCTTTCCAGGGACCCTAAATTTCCAGCCTCATTCCTACCCTGATGCTGCTCACTCCTCTTCTCTGCTTTAGTTTTTCTTTAGTGTACTATCAGTTTTACTTACCCCATTCATCTGTCTCCCCAGTAAAACATAAGCTCCACGAGAGCAGACTTTGTGTTCACACTCAAATGACTTTCCGAATCAGTTTATTTCCTGCCTTCTGTGTCAGGGCTGAGCTTGGCTTCAGGGTACGAAGCTGAATAAGACTGTTTTGCTCTTTAGGCTTTTGCAGTCTAGAAAGCAAGCTATAAAAGGTAAAGGCAATTCAAAGATCTATAGGAACTTTATTTTCATGGTTGTTATACATATTCATTTCATTGCAAATGTAAACTCTTGTGTCTGTGTCTTTTTAACTACAGAGCATAAACTCGCTAGGTTTCAAAGAATTCTTCAGATACAGTATTGGTTTTGTGGAGTTTTTTTTTTTTTTTTTTTTTTAATATAACTGTACTGGAACCAGCCGTTGT